AAATAACCGATTTGGTTGCTTTTTCATAGTTCACAGACTTGATTGATCCATTCAAAAGTACACGTACTCAATTGAAGTTTTAGTGAAAGTATATTAACTTATTTGACAGTTTTCCCTATTTTAAAAGAAAAAGGTCGTGAACGGTAGTTGTTTGGTAAAAAGTTGTCTGTTTGATATTATAAAAAAAATTGTCTGTTTGATTTAATTATGTTTGATATACAAGCTATTGTGAGTCTTGACAATTAATATTAGAAACTACAATTTTTTTTCAGATGCTACTCAGTATATATTTTCAAAAAAAGATCTTTATTTTGGAAAAGTTCTATTATATTCTCATGTCAAACGTACAACTAGATATTTTAGAGACTCTTTAAATAGTAAAAATACTAGAATGTAGAGACTTATACTAATCAAACATGCACTTAGTCATTTTAATGTGAAATGACAAATTTGTGGGTGATATAATCAAAACCAACTTAGTTAATGAGTTATGTATGCCTGCGCTAGAATATAAGGGGGTCGAGGCTTGAAACTTTATATTGCAAGAGTAAAAACTTACAACACAAACATTTTTTTATAGATTAAAAATATGTATATATATATTATAATACCTCCGTTCCGAAATGAAGTTCTCATTCACTATTCTATTGTTCGACTTAAATGATTCTTAATCGAGCTTGAAAACGAATAAATCAATGAAGGGGAAAACTATAGCAAAGCTCCATCTGAGCTACCCAAGGTCATCAGAAGAACACGAATTCTGCCATCCAAATATGAGAAACCTTTGGAGAACATCAAAATCATAGCCCCCTTTCAAGAAGACATAAGAAAGCTGATGTGAATTTTCCCGCACTTAAAATGGTTGTAGAAAAGTGGGTAAAAGTACGAGTATCGTCTCCACAGGGATGGAAAAAGGGAATTAAATATTAAAAAGAAATAAATAAAATTAAATGCAATTATGCGAGATTGGTTGATTTGGAAAATTAAAATGCAGATATGATGAACAAATAAAATAAACTTGGTTTTCTTCTCAATTAACGACGAAGGAAACAAGGATTGATTCCGGGGTAACCAGATTTCTGGATCGGAAGATCGGGCCAAATTACATGAAATTAATTTAATTGAGCCTAGCTAATCATTACTAAGTTCTTACCGCTTTCGCGGCGTAGAGTACAATATTTTAGGGGACCAGGTTGATCGCTCATGCGACATGATCCTAAATTATTGCCAAGACGAGTGAGCATACGGCCCATTAATCGCTACTAATCTCTTAGTGAACGATTAAGTGTGTGTGAAGGTGTTCTAGAATAAATTAGATCTCTCTTAACTTATTCTACAAGCAATTGTAATTCTAGCGCGCACTCTAGGTTACAAAAGATATCAGTTAAATTATTCAAACACAAATTAAACGGCATTCATGCAATTAAACCGACAAGAATCTAGCCATACATCATGATCAACCCCTTCATCAACCCCAAATCCCTAATTAAACTACTCACAACTCATAATTGAAGAATCAATAGAATTGGGATGAATAGAATAAATTGTCATTAATTAAAAAGATGAACTTACAAAGAATCATCGGTTCTTGGAGTAAACAATGGTAAAAATGCAGATAAAATAGTCCCTGGACCTCTCCATAAAGTTCGTAACCCCTAAATGGGAGAAGGGAGGCCTTATTTATAGAAACAGGATGAATTCAAGCTGAAATAGGACAAATCGGCGCCAGGCACGATCGTTCCTGAGACCGTGCCTGCGGAGTATACGCGCGTCTCGGGTGCAGGCACGATCGTGCCTTCCCTGCCGGACACGACCGTGCCTGGCTGGTAGTGAGGTCTCGCGTGTTTCTTCTCCAGGCACGGTCATGCCTGGCCTTTTCTTCACCGTTTCACGCCGTTTCTTGCTCCAAATGCTCCCGTATGCATACGAGGTCGATCCAAATGCTCTTTCATCATCAAAATTTCGTTGTGAATCTCCCGGTGACCTCCAAATCTCTCAAATCTCTCTCGAATTCTTTCTAACTCTTTCTGATTGCTTCTCAAGAGCCGATTCCGGACTCTAACTTCATCAATTTGACTCCAAACGCAACAAAACTCGACCCAACGACGCCTTTTAAACATAACTTGAGCTAAAATTGAGACTTGCAGTGCCTTAAAGCTAGGAAAACCATCAAAATCCGACCCCAACACGCATCAAATGCGTGTTGTAATACGAACTTATCAAAAGCACATCTGGAGAAGAACTGACAAAATCAAAAAGCTCAAAGAACTCAAAATCAGAGGTGTTACACATCTCAAAGGACGAGAAAGAGGCAAACATCTGTACATGCTCTGCAAAAGGCCAACGTGACAACAACTTGAAATCCTCAAACATAACCTGAGAACAAGCACAACTCCCACCCGGGATATTCTAAGAGTTTCTAAGGAGATACCGGAGAAATCAAGTTACCTATCTACAGACTCCAACGCACAGACGAAACCGAATTCACTTGTCAATAGTCAGATTTCATGCTACCCAAGATGGATGATGTCTACCCGATGTCGATGATTTACATGAAATACACTGAAGAAAAATAAGATTCTCATTGATGGATAGTCTACCCGGGGGGTATCTTATCCGAGGGGTTATTGTGGGAATAACTTAGAGAGAAGTCAGAGCAAATAGGAGGAGAGAGAGTCGATTTTATTAAATGAACTCAGCGTGTGGAGTTGGGATGTAGATCCTGATTTACAAGGAGAAATGGGCCGTTATTTATAGCAGCAATAAATGCGATGAGAGGACACGTGTCGGTAATCCAACGGCCGAAGGGTCACATCAGCCGGTTGGCACCGGCAGTGGTACGTCCACCGCATTGATTGCGGTTGGCGGATGTGACGTGGCATTAAATGCGGTGGTTGGCTGTCTCTAAAAGGAATCTTCGATGTTTGAGCTTGTTCAGCCGAAGGCTCCTTGTGTAGCCGAGGGTTCCTTGTGTAGCCGAGGGCTCCTTGTGTAGCCGAAGGCTTGGTTCAGCCGAAGGCTTCCCCTGGTGCCGAGGGCATGAGGATGCCGAAGGCTCATGTTTTCGCCCGTTTTCTCCCAGCAGCTTCTCATGCCAGAGAAGGCTACCCTGTGAGTTTTGGAGCCTTCGGCCAAGGAGGCCGAAGGCACCGCAGTGTGTATTCTGGGCTATTTTGAGGCTTGGGCCATTGTATTTGGGCCTGAGTTGTTTCCTGAGCTCAATGGACTTGTGTGGGAGAAGTAGGAGTCTATGGGCCGGGGGTTCCTGGGCCATATACTCCATCAGGAGTCCCTCACTCCTTTTGCCGAAAGGTACTTGAGGGAAAAGGAGTAGATGTGTTGATTACTCCGGAGGCTTCATAATTTTAGTTGGGCGCCTTTGCTTGAGAATCTACCTTCTGCTGGTTTGCCGGAGGCTTCCCTTAGTCCCTCACATGTCGAGGGTTTTCTGAGGAAAGTATGACACCTGTATGACTGCCGAAGGCTTTTCCCAGTCCCTCACATGTCGAGGGTTTTCTGGGGAAAGCATAGATGTATTGCCTGAATGTGTTGTGATGAGGGCTGCTTCATTTCCGCAAGTGACTTGGAAAAAAAAATTTTGATACTCTACCTCTGCCGAAGGGGGTGTTGAAGTATGTACCCGAAAGTTCCTGCTTTGATGTTCACCCGGAGGCTTCATGCGTCAATGAGGAGTTTTTGTCCTGTATGATTCCCGAGGGGTGTATCCCAGTCCCCCACTCCTTTGGGCCGAAGGCTAGTTCGGGCTGAAGGAGTTATGATGTGTTGATGCAAAACCTGAGGGGTGACAACATTGACAAGCTAGGTGCTTATGCTGCCGCAGGCTCGAGGCGTTTGGTGGAATTCGTTGCCTGAAGGCTGCGGTGAGTGATAACCGGAGGCTTATATCGCAGTTTGCCTGAGGGTACTTGGTGATATGTGTTCACCGAAGGCTTCATTAGTAATAGCCGGAGGCTATCGTCAATGGTTGCCTCAAGAGGTTCTAAAATAGTGCCGTTGTGACATAGCCGTTGGAGGTGGGAGCCACGTGGCGTGCTCTAGTTGGCCGAAGGTGGGCGGGTACCACCCATTGGCTGAACCGGCGGCCCGTAATGATGGCCTTTTCAAATCGAGGCCCAGTTCTCGAGGCTGAAGGCCTATAAATACCCCAAGGCGGAGCTCAGTTCCCTTGTGCGTTTTTATGCGATAGCGAAGCTCTGCCAAAATTTCTAGAGAGAGAAAGTCCTTGCTTCGATCAAACCCCATTTCTAAGGTCAGTTCTTCTTCTGTTCTTCGCCTACTTAGTAAGTTTTGCTTCGTAGCCTTAGATCTACTGTTAGGGCCTGTAGTAGCCTTCGGCTAGAATTCCTGATTAGTATCTTCTCTTCAAACCCTCCAACACCTTCTTTGGGTAAGATGTCTTCTCAAAGCGATTCGCAAGACATTTCGAGGGAGCCGTCGGTAGGGACCGCGAGCCATTCTGAGGTGGAGTCATCGAGCGACCAGCCCTCGACGAAGAATGACCTCGCCATAGCCGAGGAGGTGCAGAGCAACCTTCGGGTAGAAATGGAGGCAGAAGAATTTGAACAAGTGGCGGAGGATGAAGAGATGGCCATCGCCCTCCAAGTGGCTGAAGAGGAGGAGGAGAAGGAGCGCCGCCGGGTAACGGTTGCCGTCATGCCCTCACGGGGAGCTGGTGGGGCGAGCACCTCTCGGCCGTTGGATGTTCAACCCCTCCGGGTAGCCGAGGGTAGGAAGAAGAAGAAGGCGAGGGCTGCCCCAAAGAAGAAGCAGGCAGCCGTCGACGCGGGACGGCCAGTTGGGATTCCCGAGGGCCACTCCTATCTGGACACCACTGCCCTCGAGGTGAAGACCACGGTCTCGAGTGCCGAGTGTCATGCCCTGCAGGTCCTTGTGGGACCGTCGGCGCAGGTTGTGGAGCCGAGTCCGGAAGATTTGCTGTCTAACCCCCCGGAGGGGTGTTTCTCGGTGCACACTTTGTCCGTGGAGCTAGGGCTTAGGTTCCCCCTACATCCTTTCGTCCTGCAGTATCTGAAATTTGTGAAGCTAGCCCCATGCCAGCTCACGCCGAACAGCCATTATTACTTGGCAGGCTTCCTGGCCCTCTGTCGTAGCCGGAAGGTGGAAGCGACACTGGACCAGTTCTTCCTATCCTTTAATCTGTGCCGGGGAGGCCACTCACACGCCGGGGGATATGCCAACTTGCAACAGGTCCCGACTTGGAAATTGTTCTCCGAGACCCCCTCCTCCCATAAGGAATGGAAGGAGAAGTTCTGCTACATCAGGCTGGCTGAAAATCCATTCCCGAGGGCTTTGAATAATCATTTCAAAAGGCACCCGAAGGTAGGTAATGCGGCCCTCGATAAGGCAGGAAGGAAACTGATTGAGAAGCCCGCGGGTTCTGAGAAAGTAATTGCTATTAAGGAAGCGACGCTGCCCGAGGAGCTCTACCTGTTAGGATTCCGAAGATACCGTCTTCCGGGGGAAAAGGACGAAAAATACCCTAGAATCGATCGAGGGTATCTGAATGCCAGAGGTTGTTCACCGAGGGCTCTTGTTGTGTTACTTAGAAAATTTTCCTTGTCTTCTTTTGACCCTAATCCTTCCTTCATTTTTTGCAGGTGACATAATGGACGTCCAAGCCTTCGCCCGATTGACAAAGAAGCTGGCCAAGGTGCCGAAGAAGAAGAAAGACGAGGGGTCCTCGAACCAGCCTCTCGTTGATGAGGCGTTGAAGAAAGCAGGGGCCGCCAAGGTCCCGGAGGGTGGGGGCCCCTCCCAAAAACCTGCTGCTGATTTCGGTGCTGGTGTCGGAGGCTCCCAAGACGGGGAGCTAAAGAGAAAAAATGCTGGGAAGGGGGTCATGCCCCCGGAGAAGAAGAAGAAGAAGAGGGGGGGGGGGGGGGGGGGCGAGAAGACGGACGCCCCCGTTGTCATCGTCGAAGAGCACTCTTCCTCCTCCCCTTCGGGAAATGTCCTCCCTCCTCCCGGGGGCCAAGATAACAGCCTGGCTTGGCCCCGGGATGATGTGCAGTTCTCTATCACCAAGGGAACTGCCATCATGCATGGCACCCTCAACCCGAGGGAGTTCCTAAAGGGTGCCACGCCCCCGACTGACAAGTCGGTGCTGTCGAGGGCCAAGGATGACGCCCTCAGCGCCAAAGTGCTCCAAGCCTCTGTCACCGTAAGTCTCGCTTAGCTTTTGTTTAGTTGGTGATTTTGGCGTATACATTTTTTTTTACTTTGCCAAACTGATCATTGTTGTATGATGGTTTTGATCCGCAGGCTGCCCTCGGTCTTGGAGAGCTGCTCCAGAGGATGGAGCAATATCAGGCGCAGAAGCGCCAGGCTGATGAGGCCCTGGCGGAGTCCCGGCGGCAACTCCAGGAAGCCCAAGAGACCCTTCGGCTGGAGAAGATGGCGTTTAATGGTATTCTTGAGAACAACAAAGTAATTGCCAGGGCCGAGGGGAAGGCCGATGCTGAGAGAGCTGCCGCCGAAGCCTCCAAGGCTGCTGCGGTAGAAGCCGAGGCCAAGAAGAAGGAGGCCGTCGCCCAGGCAGAGAGAGATGCCATCGATGCCTTCGTTGCTGATGGGTGGAGGGCGGAAGACCGGAGGGCATGGGTGGAGTCGGTGGTAGAGGCCTCGGTGGACACATGGGCGAAGGGTCCTGGGGCTATGTGGCTAGCCCGGAAGGGCAAAGATTATTATGACGGTGGAGAGTTCTTCACCCAGAAGATGATCTACCGGAGGCTAGCCAGGCACTTCAAGGTTGAGCCAAAGGATTTCAACCCCGCGGCGTATGGTCTCCCCCCCTTCAGCCAGATGTTAGAGTGCCACTTCCCCCGGGCGAAGAGAGACCGGATCTCGAAGATTCGGAGCTGTTGGCGGAAGCCGAGGATGTCGAGGAGGAGGTTGGGGATGGTGCTACCTCCGAGCCGAAAGTTGATGCGGCCCAAGGAACCCAGACTTAGGAATTTCTTGATGTATCATTTTGTAATAGCTTGTAGCTTCAGGCTCCTGCCATGCAATGTAAATCAAACATCTCGTTGTTACTTTGTTTTGTTTTTTGAATGAATGTGATATGCCTTCGGGCTTCCGTGATATGTTCCTTTGACTTTTGATGAATGTATGCCTTCGTTTCTTTCTGTTTGTGTATGAATGCTTTCCTTCACTTGGATGAATGTATTTTTTCCTTCTTTAGTCTGGCTTCCCGAAGGCCACAAGTTTGTGGACTTAGAGAATTTTCTAAGTACAACTTGATCAGAACCCTTCGGATGTAGAGTAGAATAGCCGGGGGTTGTTGTTGTGGACTTAGAAATCTTTCTAAGTGTAAACCCAATCATGAGCCCTCGGCCGTAGCGTAGGACCATCGGGGGGCTTGAAGCTGTGGACTTAGAAAATTTCCTGAGTAAGAACTTAGATCATGTCCTCGGTGACTAGGCCCTCGGTAGTGGCGAGCCTCCGACCGTAGTGTAGCATTAGGTTATTGCCAAGTAGATTAGGGGGCCGTCGGCTGTACGAAGGTTGGTGAAGATAGTATCCCGGTTTGCCCCCGAAGGGCTCCCCCATCGTGGACTTAGGCAAATTTCCATAAAGCTTCAATAGATGCCGTAGTGGACCTTCGGGCGTGAGAGTTGCTTGGGCCCCCGGTGTGTACAGTTGCCGAGGGGTCCAAGATTATGGACTTAGTGAAATTATGAGATTTGTTGAGATCGTTTGAATGAGCTTGGTGATCCTTCTTCCCTTGGCATGAACCCTCCGGTTTGTGTAGGTATAGATTTAGCTTGCCTTAGAACTGTGTGTAGCCTTCGGCGTGGCACATAGTTGATTTTGATCCAGGCAAATTTCGGCCTTAGCCAAATTTAGGTGAAGTTTTGCTTAGTGAGCCCTCTTCTTGGGCCTCCGGTGGAATTCTTGTACTCCAAGGCTTCATGCAGTGAAGCCTTCGGCTATGTAGCCAGATGACTTGTTGTTGAGGGGTTTTATTTCTTCTTTGTAGGATCCTTCGGGAATGCATATCCGAAGTGTTGAGCCTCCGGGGAGAATAGTATCCGGGGAGTTCCTTCCCCCCTACACATCTTTTTTTTTTTTTTAGATGGTGTAGGAGAGGCATCTAGAAACTTGGTTTCTAGGGAAGGCTTGGCCTATACGGGAGGCAACGGAACAAACCGTTGGCTCCCCCTTCGGGAATGACCTTCCGATATCCCGAAGGGTTTGAGGGTCGTTTCCTCGGCCCGAGACATCGTCTGTTGCCTGCTTCCCCTTGGGAGATAGCACGGAAAGCGCCTCGGTTTTGAAAGTCGTCCCCTCAGCCCGAGACATGGTCTGTTGCCTGCTTCCCCTTGGGGGATAGCGCGGGGAGCGTTTCGTTTGTGGAAGTCGAATCCTGGTCCCGGGACATGGTCCGTTGCCTGCCTCCCCTTGGGGGATGGCGCGGAAAGCGTTCCTGGGAAGGGTTTTATTTGCGTGTGGAACACAAATAGCCGGGGGCACTTGGTACCAGCCGGAGCCGAGGGGTGTTGCACCCCCCGGTTTTTTTTTTTTTTTTTTTTTAGGAGGATAGAATACGTATAAGTATGCATAATGTATGCATGATTGCGTCCTCGTGGGGTACGGCTTAGTGACAAAACGCTTGGTGTTTTCAAAAAGTGATGGGGGTGACCCATACGTTTGGTACTTGGTACCTAAATTGCTGTTCCCCCTCATCAGAGGGAGAGGCCTTGGGCCTATTTTGGTGGAGAGATGAGGGCTTGGCCACTCATGTGTAGGAGAGAAGGTGGCCTTGGGCCGTTTGTACAATAGGTGATGAAGGCTTGGCCTCGTGATTATTCTTCAAAAACAGATGGGGCCTTGGGCCATTGATATTCACACTTGCTGAGGATGAGGGCTTGGCCGCTCATGCCTTATTGATAGAATTTGACAAGGTGGTGCACATTCCAATGTCTGGGGACCTCCGTCCCATTGGGACGTTTAAGCTTGTACGTCCCTGGTTTGATGATGGCTGAGATGATGTAGGGGCCTTCAAATTTGGGCGCCATCTTTCCTCCTTCGGTGGGTAGACTGGCCTCCCTTCGTCGGAGGACGTAGTCTCCCACCTGGAATTCCCGGGAGCGGACCTTGGCGTCGATGTAGCCTTTGACTTGTCTCCTATAGTTTTCGGCCCTGAGGAAAGCTTGCTCTCGGCGTTCTGAGATGAGGTGAAGGTCGAGGGCCATGTTGGCGTCGTTGACCTCGGGCTCATATTGCTCAACCCTTCGGGTGGGAAGAGTCACTTCTGTTGGAGCCTTAGCCTCAAAGCCATAGCATAGGGAGAAAGGTGTTTCGCCTGTCGCACGCCGAGGGGTGGTGCGGTAGGCCCATAAGATGTTGTGAAGCTCTTCTACCCAGCCTCCCCCTTCGGCTTCCAGTTTCTTTTTCAACCCTTCGAGGAGAGTGCGGTTGGCGTTTTCTACTTGTCCGTTGCCCTGAGGGTAGGCAACAGAAGAAAATGTGTGCTTAATGCCCCAAGCCTCAAGGAGGGCACAGAAGGGGGCTGCCTCGAACTGAGTCCCGTTGTCGGAGATAATTTGTTGGGGGACGCCAAACCTTGTGAGAATATTTTTGAGAACGAAGTGGCGGCATCGGGCCTCAGTGATGCTGGCGAGGGGCTCGGCCTCTACCCATTTGGTGAAGTAGTCGATGGCCACAATGATGTACCTGTTGTTGGAGGTACCCCTCGGCAGAGGGCCCACTAAGTCGATCCCCCATCTGGAGAAGGGTATGGCGGTGCTGATGGGAGCATAGTTGACCGCTGGTCTGCCGGGGGCCTTCTGAAAGTGTTGGCAAGCGGTGCACCTTCGGGCTAGATTAGCACAATCTCTAGCCATCGTGGGCCAGAAGTAGCCCTGAACTATGAGCCTTCGGGACATGGAGAAGGGTCCTTGGTGAGCTGAGCAAGTGCCACTATGCACTTCCTCCATGGCGATTTCGGCCTCATCTTGATGAAGGCACCGAAGGAGGGTGCCGTTGTACGATCTCTTGTAAAGCCTCCCGCTTTCGATGGTGTAGCTGGGAGCCCTCAGCCTAGCTAACTTGGCGCGGGCTTCGTCCTGGGGTAGTTGCCCTGTGGTGATGAAGGCGATGATGTCGGAGATCCAATCCTCCGGTCTCAGGTTAATATTCATAATGGGGCTTGCGTGGATGCTTGAGAGGCTGAGCTCCTCGATTCTTGCAATTTTTGAGAGGTGCTCGGGGGATTCATCCGAGAGCTTGGATAGAATGTCGGCCTCAGAGTTTTGAGCCCTCGGTATTTGGGTGAGGGAATGTGCCTCAAATACCTCAAGCAACTCCTTGGCAGCCTCCTTGTATTGTTTCATCCTCCCTTCCTTGGCTTCGTACTCCCCGGAAATTTGACCCACGACGAGTTTGGAGTCGCATTTGACGTGGATCATTTTAGCCTTCAGATTTGCTGCCAGCCGAAGGCCACATAGGAGGGCTTCGTACTCGGCCTCGTTGTTGGAGACTTTGAAGGAGAAGCGGATGGCATAATAGGCGCGGAAGCCCTCGGGTGTAATGAGGACCACGCCCCCTCCGCATGCCTTGGTGGCCGAGGAGCCGTCGGTATATAGTGTCCACCATTCATCAAGGGGTGCCGAAGGCTCCTCATCCACCGCTGATCTCGCGGTGCATTCCGTTACGAAG